CCTATCCTGAGGAACTCATTGGCTTTTAGCCACTTTCAACAAAGTTATCTCCTCACCTTTTTTTCCTTTAAGGCTAATTTTTCAAACCTTGTTTCGAATACCTTGCTCCTTCATTTATCTCTACTCTGTTTTTGTTCTGTCTTCAGTTTTGCTCTTGTTGCCCAGGCTGGAGTGCAATGGTACGATCTCAGCTCACTGCAACCTCCTGGGTTCAAGCAATTCTCCTGCCTCAACCTCTCGAGTAGCTGGGATTACAGGCATCTGCCACCACGCCGGCTAATTGTATTTTTAATAGAGACAAGGTTTCACCATGTTGGCCAGACTGGTCTCCAATTTCTGACCTCAGGTGATCCACCTGCCTCAGCCTCCCAAAGTGCTGAGATTACAGGCATGAGCCACCACACCCAGCCTAAAATTCATATTTACATGTCTTCCACCCTTTGCCTCTAGCCAGAGCCCTTTCTCCTTTTCAAACAAAATTATTGGAGAGACTCTCCCATGCTACACATCACCCTCCCACTTGCCATTGTTTCCTCAGTCAACCTGCTGCATTCTGGCTTCTGCACTTAAACTCTTCTGAATCTCCTTTTTCTGAGATCATTGCTCCATCATTGTACAATTTATTGTACTTCTTACATGATGTCTCTGCAGCACTTAACCCTTGTTAACCATTTCCTTCTTGAAACTCTCTCCTGCCTTGGTTTGTTAGCACACATTTTTCGCCTACCTATATGGCCTTTCCTTTTTATTATGCTTTTTCTTTTTTATTTTTAAGAGACAGGTTCTTGCTCTGTCATAGAGGCTGGAGTGCATGACCTGCAGTGGCATAATCATAGCTCACTGCAGCCTTCAATTCCTGGGCTCAAGTGATCCTCCTGCCTCAGCCTTTGTGTAGCTAAGCCTACAGATGTGCACCACTGTGCCCAGCTAATTTTTTAAAAAGTTTTTATAGAGATGGAAGTCTTGCTAATGTTGCCTAGAGTGGTCTCAAACTCCTAGCCTCAAGGGATCCTCTCACCTTGGCCTCCCAAAGTGCTGGGATTTATAGGTGTGAGCCATGGTGCCTGGCCCCTTTTTATTACACTTTTTAAGTTCTTGTTGCTTGAACACTGATAGTTTTCAAGGTTATCTTTAGCTTTCTTTCCTTCTCTTCTCTTGCTCATCTCCTTCCTGGTTAACCTACTGAAATCCACACTTCAGCTGCCACCTCCATCATCATCGCTCCCAAACTCTTCCTGTAGCTTGGCTCTCCAAGACACAGAGGCACTGTTGACAGTTGGTTGATCACACTTGAAGACCCAACAGGAACTAAAAACTCTTTGTTGCACTGTCTAAACTAGAATACTCATTTATTCATTTATAAAATGGTGGACAGTATCCCCTATCTGTGACCATGAATGCAGTGTACCCTTTCCCAGGAATTGTATCAGACGATCACTTTGTAAGTACAAAAGCAGAAACAAGGAGGCAGTCTAGAAGCTGTCTCTTAAAAAAAAAATGTTAGCCGTAAAACAGGCTCTGGCAGGTCCTTCAGGAGGTATTCCAGAAGAAGGCATTATCATAGCTGATGACAGTCCCATGCATGTTATTGTCCCTGAAGACCTTTCCATGGGACAGGACATGGAGGTGGAAAACAGTGATACTGATGATCCTGACCCTATGTGGGCCTAAGCTAATGTGTGTATTTGTGTCTTAGTCATTAATAAAAATGTTTAAAAAGTTAAAAAAGATTTAAATAGAAAAAAGCATATAGAGGCCAGGTGTGGTGGCTCACGCCTGTAATCCCAGCACTTTAGGAGGCCAAGGCTGGTGGATCACCTGAGGTCAGGAGTTTGAGACCAGCCTGGCAAACATGGCGAAACCCTGTCTCTACAAAAAAATTTAAAAATTAGCCAAGCGTGGTGATAGGTGACTGTAATCCCAGCTACTCGGAAGGTTGAGAGGGACAAGAATCGCTTGAACCCAGGAGGCGTTGGTTGCAGTGAGCTGAGATTATGCTACTGCACTCCAGCCTGGGTGATGGAGCCAGACTTTGTCTTAAAAAAAAAAAAAAAAAAAAGCTCATAGAATAAGGATATGAAGAAAGAAAATATTTTTGTACAGTTGCACAATATGTTTTTTTAAGCCAAGTGTTATTAGTCAAAAAATTAAAAATAATTTAAATGTATAAAGTTAAGATACAATAAGCTAACGTTAATTTACTATTGAATAAAGAAAAGTATTTTATAAATTGACTGTAGCCTACATGTACAGTATATATAAAGTTTACAGTAGGGGCCGGGCGCGGTGGCTCATGCCTGTAAACCCACCACTTTGGGAGGCTGAGGCAGGCAGATCACCTGAGGTCAGGAGTTTGAGACCAGCCTAATCAACATGGTGAAACCTCGTCTCTGCTAAAAATACAAAATTAGGCCAGGAATGGTGGCCCATGCTTGTAATCCCAGCACTTTGGGAATCTGAGGCAGGCAGATCACCTGAGGTCAGGAGTTCAAGACCAGCCTGGGCAACATGGTGAAACCCTGTCTCTACTAAAAATACAAAAATTAGCCAGGCATGATGGCACATGCCTGTAGTCCCAGCTACTGGGGAGACTGAGGCAGGAGAATTGCTTGAACCCGGGAGGTGGAGGTTGCAGTGAGCTGAGATTGCGCCACTGCACTACACAGCCTGGGCGACAGAGCAAGACTCCGTCTCAAAACAAAAACAAAAAACAAAATTAGCCGGTAGCCGGGCGTGGTGGTACATGCCTATAATCCCAGCTACTCTGGAGGCTGAAGCAAGAGAATTGCTTGAACCGGGGTCAGGGGAAGAGCCGAGATCATACCATCGCACTCCAGCCTGGACAACAAGAGCAAAACTCTGTCTCAAAAAAAAAAAAAAAAAAAAAAAAAAGCCTACGGTAGTATACAGTAATGATGTCATAAACCTTCACATTTACTCATCACTCACTGACTCACCCAGAGCAACTTCCACTCCTGCAAGCTCCATTCAATGTTAGGTGTCCTATGTAAGTGTGCCATTTTGATCTTTTATACTGTATTTTTACTCTACCTTTTCTATGTTTAGATACTCAAATACACTGTGTTACAGTTGCCTGTGGTATTCAGTACAGTCACATGCTGTACAGGTTTGTAGCCTAGGAGCAATAGACTGTGCCATACAGCCTAGGTGTATAGCTGGCTATACCATCTGGGTTTGTGTAAGTACACTATTATGTTTGCATAACAACAAAATTGCCTAATAACTCCTTTCTCATAATGTAGTTAAGTGACATATAAGTAATTCTATTTGAATGTGAAATGAGAAATCCTGCCAAACAGCTATCTTGACAAAATCATTTTTAAGGATAATAGTGTTTCTTTTAAATCCATGGCTTTCTGTAAACATAGGTCAAATTTGAATACTTCGGTAGGGTTGGGTGTTCTTAATATTCAACCTGTGATACCTTTTCAAAGTGTGGAATTATGGGAAGGCTTATACATTGGGTCTCTTTTAGTAAGAAACACTTCGTGGCCAGGTGCGGTGTGCTCACGCCTATAATCCCAGCACTTTGGGAGGTTGAAGTGTGCGAATCACTTGAGGCCAGGAATTTGAAACCAGCCTGGCCAATATAGTGAAACCCCATCACTACTAAAAATATAAGACATTAGCTGGTTGTGGTGTTGCACACCTATAGTCCCAGCTACCTAGGAGGCTGAGGCGGGACAATTACTTGAACCTGGGAGGTGGAGGTTGCAGTGAGCCGAGATCCTGCCACTGTAGTCAAGCCTGGGTGACAGAGGGAGACTCTGTCTCAAAAGAAAAGAAAGATTTTCTAGCAGGTTTTTTCTTACCATCCTCACTCTGATGAAATAATAGCTAGCATTGGTCAATGGTTGCTACATTATCTCAGTCTTCACAATCCTATGAGAACACATAGGTCCCATTATCGTCGCATCTCAATGTACAAATGGAGAAACACTTGGAGGTTTAAAAACATGCCTACATTCAGCTGGGCATGGTGGCTCACGCCTGTCATCCTAGCACTTTGGGAGGCTGAGGCGAGTGGATCACTTGAGGTCAGGAGTTCAAGACTGGCCTTGACAACACAGTGAAATCCCGTCTTTACTAAAAATACAAAAATTAGCTGGGCATGGTGATGGACGCCTGTATCCCAGCTACTTGGGAAGCTGAGGCAGGAGAGTGGCTTGAACCTGGGAGACAGAGGTTGCAGTGAGCTCAGATCACGCCACTGCACTCCAGTCTGGGAGACAGAGTGAGACTCCATCTCTAAATAAATAAATAAATAAATACACGCCTAAGTTCATACAGCAGAGTTGGGATTTGATTCCAGGACCATAGCTCTCAACACGTATCATGTTACCTTCTCCTGTTAGCGAGGAGGTATATGTAAAAGATAGGAGCTTCCCACAGCCAGGTGCCCATTTTCCATCTCAATCAGGACTCTGAGATGTTGTATTAATGTGGGGAATGGGTTTGTGGTGGTTGTCCAGGGCAAACCTCCAGGATTTTTACTTGATATGCACTAATGTATGGGTTTTTTTTGTTTGTTTTGTTTTGTTTTTTAAGACAGAGTCTCACTCTGTCACCCAGGCTGGAGTGCAATGGCGCAATCCCAGCTCACTGCAAACTCTGCCTCCCAGGTTCAAGTGATTCTCCTGCCTTAGCCTCCCAAGTAGCTGGGATTACAGGCGAGTGCCACCACGCCCAGCTAATTTTCTTTTTTTTTTTTTTTTTTTTTTTTTTGTATTTTTAGTAGAGACAGGGTTTCTCCATGTTGGTCAGGCTGGTCTCAAACTCCTGACCTCCGGCGATCCACCCGCCTCAGCCTCCCAAAGTGCTGGGATTACAGGCAAGAACCACCGTGCCCGGCTAATGTTTTTTTTTTTTTTTTTTTTTTTTTTTTTTTTACTGGTAGGGGTAATCCAAAATGTAACCGCTGTACTTTGAGGAGTTATTTGGGTCTCCAAGTATTCCATGAATGTACTTTTTTCTTGCAGGTCAGACACATTCTATGTGAAAAACATGGCAAAATCATGGAAGCCATGGAAAAGTTAAAGTCTGGGATGAGATTCAATGAAGTGGCTGCACAATATAGTGAAGATAAAGCCAGGCAAGGGGTACGTTGCTCTTATTATTTATAATTTTCTGTCAGTCAGGGTGAGGGAGCAAAATAAAAATGACAAATAATAAAATAAACTTCTCCGTCCTCCACAGAAGAAACACAAAAGTAGGGATTACTTCTTTTGTTCAACCATTAGTTGTAAAATAACCATATTTTAGTTTAAAGATCTCAAAAGCAGAGTATCCAACTTACAAATAGTAGAATAAGGGTCACCTATGTCTAAAGCTAGGCATGACCAAACTTGCACAGCTAAGTTGAAAATCCAGCAGTGTTGAGTTCGGTTTAGAGTTAGACTTCTTCCACCTATTTGTCCTTATTGAGCCTATTCCTGTATTGCTCTTAGGAATATACCTCATAACCTTAGCAAAATGTTGGGAAATTCTCTCAAGCTACACCAGAACTGTTCCCTCTTTAGGGCCAATCAATATCACTTATCTTTTGGGTTTTTCAGGGCGACTTGGGTTGGATGACCAGAGGGTCCATGGTAGGACCATTTCAAGAAGCAGCATTTGCCTTGCCTGTAAGTGGGATGGATAAGCCTGTGTTTACAGACCCACCAGTTAAGACAAAATTTGGATATCATATTATTATGGTTGAAGGAAGAAAATAAAATCATATGAAAGACTGAATAAGTTTTATACATTTTGTTTCTTTAAAAGGTATTGGGTATTCTTTTGAGCTGGAGTTGCAAGGAAATACAAAAATTTTTAAAAAGAAAAGATATTGGATGCTGCTTGTATTTTGTGGAGGCTCTGTCAGTATGGGTTTGTAGGTGTGAGAGAAGGTGGGGATAAGTGAGTGTCTACTGCAGTAGGTATTCAGTCAGTCATTCTCAAAGAGAAGTCAAGCAGACTCCCTTTAACCTGTATTCCCTTTCCTCTCAGAACTATATCTGACTCTCAGTCTGTCCCATAAATTAATTCAGAAACCATCTTCAGGGGAAGCAGATATCAACTCACACTATTCACACAACTGAAAATATTGGGCATCAAATAGATTAGTATATGAGAATCATAAAATAAATTCCTGGACAACATTTGTTTTACATGTTAGTCAACTCTGATCTTCCAGGACATTTATTAATAGCTCCGCTCTCTTAACATAGTATGTGGCACATTATAGGCTTTCAGTGTTAACTCCTTTCTTTTAAAATAAATGTTTTTTGGACGGAAAAGAACTCAGTTCTTCCATGGGTTGTTTTGTACCAGACTAACCAAGTGCTGGCTAAAGGGATGGATGTCAGCATAAAAACCTCATTCCCTCATCTTCAGCGTATGGGTTACATTAGGACTGTCCTTTCCAGGGCCAATGTTGTATGCATCTAAATTTTTAAAATTTAAAATGCCATATTTATGACATACAAAAAAGTATAAAGATTACTAAGGAAAATACTATACTGCTTCAGAAATAAAACTTTGCCAACACAGCTATGTGATTCTTAACAGTGATTATTTTAACACACTACAGGCCAAGTGCGGTGGCTCACGCTTATAATCCCAGCACTTTGGGAGGCCGAGGGGGGTGGATCACCTGAGGTCGGGAGTTCCAGACCAGCCTGACCAACATGGAGAAAGCCTGTCTCTACTAAAAATACAAAAAATTAGCCAGGCATGGTGGCGCATGCCGTAATCCCAGCTACTCAAAAGACTGAGGCAGGAGAATCTCTTGAATGCGGGAGGCGGAGTTTGCGGTGAGCCAAGATCGTGCCATTGCACTCCAGCCTAAGCAACAAGAGTGAAAACTCTGTCTCAGAAACAAACAAGCAAACAAAAACACTGCATTTCTGCATTCTCTCCCTCAACTGCATTTGATATTATACCCACTTATATAATGGCAACTTTACCTAGAGACCTGACTACTTTCCCACTTGAGTAGAGGAGTTTCTGAGCACCTCAGTAGGTTGTGCCTCCATGAGATTTTCCCCACAGAGCAGATATACTAGTATATACAGATGTTCAAATAGATATAAACTGATACTACAGCTGGGCCGAGTGGTATGCGCCTATAGTCCTAGCTACTTGGGAGGCTGAGGCAGGAGGATCACTTGAGCCCAGGAGTTCTGGGCTGTAGTGTCCTTTGCCAATCGGGTATCAGCACTAAGTTCAGCATCAATATGGTGGGTGACCTCATCCGGGCACAGTGGCTCATGCCTATAATCCCAGCATTTTAGGAGGTCAAGGTGGGAGGATCACTTGAGCCTCAGAGTTTGAGGCTGCAGTGAGCTATAACCATGCCCACTGCACTTCAGACTTCAGCCTGGGTGACAAAGACTCTGCCTCTTAAAAAAAAAGAAAGAAAAACATGGTATCCTCCTGGGAGTGAAGGACCACCAGGTTGTTTAAAAAGGGGTAAACTGGCCCAGGAATGGAAACTGAGCTGGTCAAAACTCTTGTGCTGATTAATAGTGGGATTGCACGTTTGGATATCCACTGCACTCCAGCCTGGGCAACACAGTGAGACCCCATGTCTAAAAAAAAGTTTAAAGCTGAAACTACATGTTATTGATTGGTTGATTTTGTTTTAAATGATACATTGACATGGGGTCTTATTACATTGCTGAGGCTGGCCTCAAACTCCTGGGCTCAAGTGACCCTCCTGCCTCACCCTCCCTAGTAGGTGGGACTACAGGCAAGTGTCACTGCACCCGGCCTATGTGTACTTTGAAAACTATATTAAAAACAATGTCTCTAGGCCGGGCGCAGTGGCTCACGCCTGCAGTCCCAACACTTTGGGAGGCCGATGCACGCAGATCACTTGAGATCAGGAGTTTAGGATCAGCCTGGCCAATATGATGAAACCCTATCTCTGCTAAAAGTACAAAAATTAGCCGGGCATGGTGGCACACGCCTGTAGTCCCAACTACTTGGGAGGCTGAGGAACGAGAATTGCTTGAACTCAGGAGGCAGATGCTGCAGTGAGCTGAGATGGCACCACTGCACTCCAGCCTGGGTGACAGAGACTCCATCCCAAAATAAATTAATAAATTAACAAAACAAAACAATTTGTCCAAATAAGGGCAGTAAATTCTGAAAAGCTATGTAAGCATGAGACACTACCGAGCTGAGACCTTTGCTTGGGACATTGGCTTGCCTAGGATACTAAGTGAATACCTGTTGCATAGATGTCACCACAAAGGAAAGAACCCAGAGTGCTGAAAGGTGGACTAGAAAAAGCAAACTAAATTCTGTGATATGGAGAGAGCAGTTATAGGTAACCTGTGAGAAAGTAAGGCAGGAATGGACCTCTGACACCAAGCGAACCTTTGGGAAGTTAGCTTTTGATTGACAACTAAGATTCTGAAAGAGTTGGTAAATGGGCCAGGCAGCATGGCTGATGCCTGTAATCCCAGCACTTTGGGAGGCCAAGGTGGGTGGATTAAGGCCAGGAGTTCAAGACCAGCCTGGCCGTCATGGTGAAACCCCATCTCTACTAAAAATACAAAAATTAGCTGGGCTTGGTGGTGCGTGCCTGTAGTCCCAACTACTCAGGAGGCTGAGGCAGGAGCATTGTTTGAACTTGGGAGGCAGAGGTTGCAGTGAGCCGAGATTGCACCACTGCACTCCAGCCTGGGTGACAGAGCAAAACTCTGTCTCAAAAAAAAAAAAAAAAAAAAAAGTTGGCAAATGAAAAAAATTAAGGATTTATACAGATTTATATACATTATAGGATATGCATTTAATTCTGCTTTAAGACTATATCTCTTTAAGTTCAGTGTTTACAAAACAAACATCCTTCATTGTAAAATAATTGCAAATTAAAATCAAAATAAGATACAAGTTCCCTCTTTTTATATGTCAGATTGGTAAAGTTCAAAATGTTTAACGTTGTTTGGTAAGGGTATGGGGAAACGGACATTCATCCATTCATTAATGGTAGAAATGCAATTATATCCTCTGTGGAGAATAGTTTGGCAATACTTGTCAAATTTATAAATAAGCCCTTTGACCCAGCAACTCCATTTCTAGGAATGTATCCTATAATCATATGTATAAAAGATACAAGGATATTTCTTACAGCATTATTTGAAAACAAACTGAACACCAACAATAGATGATGATAAATTGTGGTATATCCTTCAACAGAATATCATGTAGTTGTGTTAAAATTTAAAATGAGGTACAGAATAGTATACATAATCATTTGGGTAGCAACATAAATATATACACATATGTACTTGAGCTTGTACATCATAGACTATCTCTGGGAATGGGAATCCAGAACTCCAGGACAGGAGGGTAAGAGACTTTACCTCACACCCTGAGATCAGGGTTCTTAACCTTTCTTTTGTGCCATGTAGCCTTTGGCAGTTTGCCCCAGTCTATGGATCCCTTTTCAAAATGTTTATTTTAGGCTGGATGTGGTAGCTCAAACCTGAAATCCCAGCACTTTGGGAGGCTGAGTAGGGCAGATCAGTTGAGGCCAGGAGGTCAAGACCAGCTTGGGCAACACAGTGAGACCCTGTCTAAAAAAATTTTTTAAATTAGCTGGGCATTGTATGTGCCTGTAGTGTCTGCTATTCAGGAGGAAGGCTGAGGCAGGAGGGTTGCTTGAACACAGGAGTTAAGGCTGCACTGAGCCGTGATCTCACCACTGCACTCCAGCCTGGGTGACAAGAGTGAGACCCAGTCTCAAAAAAGAAAAAAATGTTGACTTTAAATGCATAAAGTAAAATACATAGGGTTACAAAAGACATTATGCTGAAATAATCAAAAGGTTTTTTTGTTTTTTTATGAGGTACACAGCTAAATCAAAAGTTTTAAAATTGTGGCTGGGCGCAGTGGCTCATGCTTGTAATCCATCCCAGCTCTTTGGGAGGCCGAGACAGGTCAATTGCCTGAGCTCAGAAGTTCGAGACAAGCCTAAGAAACATGGTGAAACTGTCTCTACCAAAAATACAAAAATTAGCCAGGCATGACGGTGGTGCACACCGGTAGTCCCGGCTACTCCTGGCGGGGGCAGGTGGGGCTGAGGCGGGAGGATTGCTTGAGCCCAGGAGGCGGAGGTTGCAGTGAATCCAGATTGTGCCACTGCATTGCCACCTGGGTGACAGAGTAATACCCTGTCTCAGAAAAAAACAGTTTGTAATATGTGTGTGTGCCTCTTTGTTAATATATTAAGTAATACCTGGTGGTAGGTCTAAAAAGCACTGAGTTTGCAGTAATGAATATCAATGGTATTTTGAGATATCTGCACTAACCCTGAAGTCTATGTGATTTCTACTGGTGACATGGTAACTACTACTAATCCTTCTGCAGTTTATGGCTACATTTGTTAACAGTGAACGATGTCCAGGTTCTTGGCGTCTTGAACCAAGAACTGGATAAAACGCACAAACAAAGCAAGGAAGGGACAAAAGCATTTATTGAAAATGAAAGTACACTCCACAGTGTGGGAGCATGACCAAGCATAGGAGCTCAAAAGGCCCTGTTAGAGAATTTTGGGGAGTTTAAATAACCCCTAGAGGATTCCATTGGTTACCTGGCGTGCGCCCTATGTAAATGGAGAGGATAAAGTCATTTACTAGGCCTATGCCCTATGGAGAGGATATTTCCTGTCATAGCTGAAGTGTGAATCGGTCTTAAATCCCCTGCCTCCAGACCCTATTTTCCTGCTTCACATTCATGATGAAAGGAAATGCTATTATTTCAGCTACGAGATAGTGAGATAAAAGATAAAATTTTTTCCCATCCAAATTCACAGACAACTGACTTCTTCTACCCATGAACTCCAGGTTAAAAATCCCTGCCATGGATACTGTTTGAATAGTATTTCAAACATGAGTATGTATTTTTTTCCCCAAACAGAATTTGTCATAGCACACACACACTTGAACAGAAAGAGCATTGCTATTTTCAGTAAGAAATACACCGAGGACTTAACGCTTCACTGTTCCAATCAAATGGATATAGGCCACTAAAACCTCCTTGCAGGCAAATAAATCGTGTGGGTTTTTTGTTTTCTACATCAGGGAAGAAAGAAATTTATTAGCTGAATTTTTTTTTTCCACTGTATAGAAAAGTCTTCTGACAGATGTTAACTGAATTTTAACAAACATTTGTGTGTGTGGTAGAAGGGAAACGGAAAACAAAGATGTAGGGCGCAGTCACTCCCTTCACCTTTATCACGGTGGGAAGCACAGAAATGGTAAGCTGAACTTAGATGCAGACTGAACTG